ACAAGAAGGCGGCCGGCGGCCAAGCCCCGGCCGATTCCGCCCCCGAGAAGGAGCCACCGGCGGTGGTGAACGGGAAGGATGAGGAGCCAAGCACCGAGGAAAGCAAAGGGGGAGGCCGGACGACCTCCCCCGCCAACGCCGACACGGATGCCCCCAAGGAGAAGGAGACGGTGACCAGCAGCCCCGTCTCCCCTGAAGGTTCACCTTCCAAATCACCCTCCAAGAAGAAGAAGAAATTCCGGACCCCGTCTTTCCTGAAAAAAGGCAAGAAGAAGGAAAAGATCGAATCTTGAGTCTCCACCCGAGGCCTCTCGCCGCTGCGGTGGCCGGGTACCTCTCCGGCCGGAGGCGCCGAGGCGGAGGGACGGCTCCCGCGTCGTGCGTCTGGCCGAGGCGCAGCCGAAACCCCCCCCAGAGGCAAGTTGCTTTTCTGGGTTTCCTCCTGGCACGAGGCACTTCGTCCCCCGCTTTTGGAGACGGTCACCGAGCTTACGAAAAGATTGTGGCCCCCATTTGCCGCTGGGGGAAATTCCCGCTGCCACCTCCCTCCTCCCACCAGCTCTCCCTTCTCCCTCCCGGGCACCAGTCCCTTTCCACTCCTGGGCTGAGGGTTGGGGTTTTATTTTTTTCCCCCCACCCGCCGCTTGCAGAGCCCTCGCGAAACGCAGGGCGCAGCCCGGAGCCGCTTGGTTTGAGGAAGAAAAAGGTGTTTTGTTGTTTTTTGGGGGTTTTGTTTTGTTGGTTTTTTAACCTTCTGTTTCAAGCTCGGCTGGAATGGCGCTGGCTTCACCCTTCCCTGGGTAAAATTGTTCGCCGCTTCGCTGGGGGGAATCGGATCAAGCCGAACGCGGGGGGATTGCTCTCCCTGAAGGAGAGGTCGAGGCGGTGGGCCTTGGGAGCCTTTCCTTCCCGGATTGTAATCTTCCTCTCCCTGAGCCCGAGAGCCACTTTCAATCCCCTTCTCCTGGTGCCACCGTCTCACCTATTCACCATACGAGGATTTCACGCCGCCGGGAAAGTCCCCCCCCGGCCCCGCCACACCGCACCGCACCAACCGCACCTGAGACGGGAGAAGAAAAAAAAGCCTCCGGGAATTGTCTGTGTTATTTAAAACTGAGCAAAACTTCACTCACTAAGTGCTACTTCGGGATGAACACACGCTGCCAATTCACTTCAGTCAGAGGCACTGCCGATGCCGCCGCCTCCGTCCCCACCGTCACCACCTCACGGCGACGCCGGCACACGCGGCCGAGGCTGTGCCGGGTCTCAGCCAGCGCCTGTCCTCACGGCCGAGGCCGCATCGTTGCTTTTCCCTGGCTCTGGATTCCTCAGCACATGTTAAAATCCTCCCTGGAGTTCCCTTCCCCGCCAGCATCGCCTCCAGCGCTCCCTACGCCGACACGACTGTGGTTACAACCTCCCGGCCGTGCCTGGAGGGGAGAAGAAAACCAGCCA